GTCCGGCCGGCGGCGCGGCTCTGCGCGTGCGCGGCCGCCGGGGGCGGGGAGCCGCGCTGCCGCGCCTGCGCACTGCCGCGCCCCCTGCCGGCGCGCGCGCCGCGCCCTCGGGGCTCTTAAAGGCGCCGCATCCCGGTACCGACCCCCGCCCCCGGTACCGGGATGGAGGCGGCGGCCACGACGGCGGCCCCGGGCTGGCGCTGCCGGCCGGGGGGACGGCTGGACATGAGCCACGGCTTCGTGCGGCACATCCGCCGCAACCAGCTCGCCAGGTACCGGTACCTCCCGGCCACCCCCGGGGACCCGGTCGTCCCCGGTCCGGTTTGGCCGCGGTGCTCCTCGGTCCCCCTCTCCACCCCGTAACCCCGCCGCCCCGGCGGTAACGCGGCCCTTGGGGTGCCCAGGGACGCGTACGACCGCGCGGTGCGGCAGGCGCGGGGCCGAGCGCGGACGCGGCTGACCCCGGCCCCGGCGCGGCCCCGGCGGCCCGACCAGCAGGTGTACCGGCCCCACCGGGGCAGCGGTGAGCGGCACCGGCGGCGCGGGGCACCCGGGGGCGCGGGGGGGCGATCCCAGAGGTGGCTGCGGCAGGGGGAGGGGAGTGCCGGCATCGGGGGATGCGGGGGCTCCTGAGGGAGCGGGGCGCGCCCGGGGGCGGGGGGACCCCGGGAGATGCGTGGGGAAGGGTGGGCCGGGACTGGGGGGCACCGGGGCCGGGACTGGGGGGCACACGGGGGCGGGGGGCACACGGGGGGATGGGGAGCCCCGGCTGCCCCCCTGAGGGTGCAGGTGCCGCAGGGGGGCCCGGGGGCGACGCCAGCGCGGGGCCCCAGCCCGACACCCGCGGGGCCCCCCCGGGCCCCGGCCGCGGGCCGCGCCTCTTCTGCCTCGAGTACGAGGGGGACGACGGGCGGGTCACGGCTGTCATCGTGCACCAGGTGCGGCCCCGGGAGCGCCGGGAGCTGGGGGGCAGAGGGGGGGGCTGCTGTGGGGCTGGGGGTGTGATGGGGGGGGGTCCTGGGGGGCACAGAGCGCTGTCCCGGGGCTGGGGGTGCCCGTCGGACGGGGGGAGCCCGTGGGGCAGGGGGTGCCGCCATCGTATGGGGGTGCCAGGTCTCAGCTGCCATGGGGTGCTGTTGGTGGGGGTCCCACGGGACAGGGGACATCGCTCCCAGTGGGTGCTGTAGGGCTGGGGCTCCGTGGGGGGCTGTGGATGGGGGCTCTGTGGGGCGGTGGGTGCTGTAGGTGGGTGCCGTGGGGCACCGGGAGCCGTGGCAGGCCCGGCGGGTGACGTGGGTGCCGCAGGGTGACAGCGCCGAGGAGGTGACACGCCGGGTGTGCGCCCGGAGCCCGCTGGAGCCCCCCCTGCGCAGGGCCCTGTGCCAGCGCGTGCAGGACGAGCTCAGCAAGCGCCGGGGCACCGGGTGACGCTGCCACTGCCACCCCCGTGGGACCGGTGCCATCCCCCCCGTGTCAATAAAGGTGCTGCGAGGCTCCGGTGTCTTTCACTGCTCGGGGAAACTGAGGCACGGGGGGCGGGGGAGTGGGAAGTGGTGCGGCTCCTGGGTCCCCGAGTGCCACATTCCTATTTGTCCCATGTGTCACCCATGTCAGGGTGGCCCCACGCAGTGACACTGAGTGCCAAGTCCCCCAGTCCCTCCCAGGTGTCACCATGTCCCTGGGGCCCTGGAGTCCCCATCCCCTCCTCAGGTGCCATTGTGTCCCCAGGGTCCCCTCTGTGTCCCCAGAGGCTGTGGTGGGGCCACAGCCCCCTCCTGCCCCTGGCCCAGGTTGGTGGCACCTCTGGCCAAGGCCAGGTGTGCCCAGGGTGTCCCCAGGGCAGGTCCCGTGAGTGTGGTGTTGTAGGGTCTCCCCAGGGCGGGTTGGGGGGTTTATTGTGGGGGGTCCCTGAACCGGGGCCTTTTGTCACCCTGAAGATCACCCCACTGCTCTGTTTTTGTAGGGTCTCCCGGCAGCAAGGCACAGAGGGGCTGTTACTGCGGGATCTACCCCAAACAGATTCTGCTTATTGTAGGGTCTCCCCAGAGAGGGTCCAGGGTGTCTTCATATGGTCCTGCTGGTTTGTTTTTGTAGGGTCTCTCCAAACAAAAGGGGGTTTAATTCTCACAGGTTTTCCCCAGAGGAGGTCCAGCATGTTTGTTATTGTAGGGTCTTCCCAAAGATCATCCTGCTCGTTTGTTATTGTCCCTGAAGTAGATTCTGATGTTTATTAATTGTAGGGTCTCCCTGGAGGCTCTGGCACATTTGTTTTTATAAGAGCTTCATGGAAATCATCCCGTTGGTTTGGGATTGTAGGATCTCCTCAAAGGGCTCCTGGTGTTTACTGTAGTGTTTCCCTTGAGTGGGTCTTGCTGGGTTTTTGTTGCAGGGTCTCTCCAAAGCAGATTTTGGAGTTTATTTATTGTAAAGTCTCCTTGGAGATCATCCCAGTGGTTCATTATTGTTCTTGTAGGGTCTCCCCAAGCGACTCCTGGTGTTTATTTGTCACGGGGCCCCCTCAGGCGTCCCCCTGCTCTGTCAGGGGGTCCCTGCAGTGCTGGGGGGGTGCTTGGTCCCCCCCTGTGGGGTGGGGACAGTGCTGGTGCCAGTCCCGGGGGATGACCGTGCCAGGGCCAGCGCCAGTGCCAGACCCAGGATGAAGAGGAGGAGGAGGCCGATGCCCAGGGCTAGCAGGTGCCACCGCCGATGTCTCCTGCGCTGGCGCCGCGTCACCGTCTGTGTGGTGCGGGTGAAGGCTTCACTCTGTGGGGACATGGAGAGGGATAGGGGACAGTCCCTCCAAGGGCTACAGAGGGGTTGGGGGGACCTACAGGAACAGGCAGACACCCCCCCAGCCATGGCCCTGGGGTCTCTCCTCCCCAGGCTTTGTCTCCACAGTGTCCCCCAGCCCCTTTGTGTCCCCACAATGTCCCCCAGGACTATAGGTCAGCCCAGGGTTTTATGTCCCAACAGTTTGTCCCTCTTGGGGCTCTGTATGTTCCCCCCACAGCGCTCTAGAGCAAGTCTAGCCCTGAGATTGATGTCCCCATAGTGTCCCCCCGGGCTCTGTATGGCTCACAGGGCTGTATGTCCCTATACTGTCCCCCCCAGGCTATATGTTCCTGTAACAGCTCGTGTCTGGGGCTTTATGCCTCTACAGTGCTCTGTGTCCCCAGGCTGACCTGTCCCTGCCCTGGTCCATGTGTCCCCTCTGTCCCACCGCAGGTCCTGGCCAGCTCCAGGTGTCCCTGTAGTTCCTCAGCCCACCCTGTGTCCCCAGGCCCAGCTCTGCAGCTGCTCCAGGTGTCCCCTCTAGTGCCACTCCCCCCGCGGCCGCGTGTCCCGGGCTGTCCCCGCGGTCCCACCGCTTGTCGCAGGTCCTGGGCACGGCTCTGCAGCTGCTCCAGGTGTCCCTCCCGCTCCAGCGCCCGCACCACGTTCTGTCGCATCAGCTCCGCCACCTCCTCGGCCTCGCGCTGGCACCGCGCCAGCCCCGCCTGGGGACACGGGGGGACAGTGTGGGGACACCGTGGGGACATGGGGGATGCTGCAGGAACACTGGGGATGTGGGCGCTGCGGCGAAGGACCGTGGGGACAAAGGGACGTGGGGATATCGGGACCCTGGGGACACGGAGATGGCACGGGGACAGGCAGGGACACCGAGGACTTGGGCACCGTGAGGAAGGGGGACAGGGGAAACCTGGGGACACAAGAACAGCGGGGATGGGGACCAGGGGACATGAGGATCACGGGGACTATGGAGACACGGGGGACCGTGAGGAAACTGCCACCCTGGGGACAAAGCCTGACCGTGGGGACAAGGGCGCCGCAGGGACATTGGCATCGCGAGGGGGGCACACAGGGACCACGGGGACAGGAAACCGGGGGGACGTGGGCACGGGGCCACCTGAGGATGGGGACCGGGGGGGACACGGGCACTGCGGGGTCAGAGCACACACGGGGACACCGGGACACGGAGGGACACAGGGACACGCAGGGACACCGGGACACGGAGGGACACGGGGACACGGAAAGTCCCGCCCGGCCACCACCCCGGGTGGCCGCGTCCCTCCGTTCGGCACGGAGAGCCCGGGGGGCGGACCGGGACTGGCACCGGGGGATCCCGAGCCCGGCGGGTCCCGTGTCTCCCATCCCGGTCTGTCCCCTCGGAAAGCGAAAGCGAAAGCGGCGGCGGCGGCGGCGGCCCGGGACTCACCATGATCCCGGTACCGCGGGTCGGTGTCAGTGCCGGTACCGGTGCGCCCGTTCCTGTACCCGTCCCGCCTCGGGCCCCAGCGGCCGCCCCCGACGGGAGGGACCGGGACCGCCCCCCATCCCACCCTCGGGTGTCCACAGTCCCGGGACACCCCGACCCGCACACCCCGGGACGGGGCTGCCCAGGACTCCCCACTCAACCCTCCGCAGCCGCCGGGTCCCCCGGGTCCCCCATGTCCCCAGAGACCCCCCTGTCCCTCCAGCCCTTCGGACCCCCCATGTCCCCAGGACCCCCAGTGTGTGCCTCGACACTGCCCTGTCCCCGAGAGAAGTGGCCCCACAGCCCCACACATGTCGGTGTCCCCAGGTCCCTGCAGACGTGGGGCCACACCAGGACCCCCCGTGTCCCTGTCCCCACTCCTCCCCCTTCTCCCCCCCCGCCCCAGCCTCTGAGGGTGGCAGTGCCACCACAGTGTCCTTTGTCTCTCGGTGCCTGGCACCACCCCCGGTGTCCTGGCACGGCACCCACTCCTCTCCCACACGCATCCCCTCACGCCTGTCACACGTGTCCCCCTTGTGACCGCACGCGAGTGTCCCCACACAATCCCCACATCCCTAGGGCCCGTCCCCCATCATCTCCTCCCACGTCCCCATGCATATTCCTGTGTCCCTATGCCTGTCCCCCATGTCCCCATGCCCATCTCACCATGTCCATCTGTGTCCCCCCCCATGTCCATCTGTGTCCCCACCATGTGCACCCCCACCACACACACACACACATCTCGCTGGTTCTTCCCCCTGTATTTGGGCCCTGGGGTGGCCATGTCCCCGTGGGGACAGTGGCTCTAGGTGGGGATGGTGCCAGTGGCCAGGAGGATGATGAGGATGAGGACAATGACGCCCACGAGGCCGAGGATGATGAGCAGCTTCACGTTCTTCCACCAGTAGCGCCGGGCCATCTTCTGGGACGTCGTGCGGAAGTGCTCTGACTGCAGGGACAGCACTCAGAGACACGGGGGGACCCTGACACCCTGGGGACCCCAATGGCCACCCTGGAGACAACCCTGCCCACCCTGGGGACCCCCGCAGACTTCTCAGGGACACCCAAGGGTCCCATCCATCCCACCGGGCACCCTGCAGTCCCCTTAGGGACCCCATTCTCCCTTGGGAATCTTGTGTTCCTTGACCTGGGGTTGCAGCCCCCACCCTGGGGACCCAGAGCCACCTCAGGAGCCCTGCACAACCTTGTGGGCTTTGGGACCACCCTGGGGACCCCCTCACGAGCCTGCTGCCCCCCCTCACCGTGGCCTCTAGGTCCTGGCTCTTGCTGTGCAGCTGCTCCAGGTTCTCCCCCCGCGCCAGGATCCGCTCCACGTTCTGCGTCATGATGGTGGTGACCCCCTGCACCTCCCGCTGCAGCGCCCGCACGCGCCCGTCGCCCGTGGTGGCATCTGTCGCGACATCCGCCGGGACCCCCCCCGGGACCCCCGCCTGCAGCACAGGGCAGGGGTCAGGGGGGCGCCTCCAGCACCCCACAAACACCCCACAGCACCCTACAGACACCCCATGTATGCCCTGGGGCACTCTCAATGTACCCTCAGCACCCTACAGACACCCCAGGCACCCCAAAGGTGCCCACCGAGCCCCCCATGAGCACCCCAGCATCCCATGGGCGCCCCATACACACCCCCTGAGCGCTCCCCACACCCCACACACACCCTACAGGTACCCCAAAGGTGCCCCTGTAGTGCCCACAAGGCACCTCATGTCCACCCCAAGCACCAAATGTGCACCCAATGGTACCCCACACATAGCCCAAACACCCATATGAACCCCAGAAACCTCAAAGGGACCCCCAAAGCTCCCCAGGGGCACGGCTCACCCCTATGAACACCCCTTGGCACCCCACAGACAGCCGGGATCACCACGGCTGCTTCCCCACGCACACCCCAAAGCCCTGCACAGCCCGGCGCCCCCACAGGGACCCCCGCCCCATCCTCCGCTGCTCCCCCCGTGCCCCTCGGTGCCCCGGCCCCACCATGGTCCGTCCGGCCCCGCTCGGCTCCGCTCCCGCGGCGGCCCCGGCCCCGCCCCGCCCGCCCGGGGCTTCCGGGAGCGGCGGCAGCGGGAGGCGGGCCGGGGGCGGGCCGGGGTCGCGGCGGGGCCGGGGTCAAGGCGGGGTCGGGGGTCGTGGAGAGCCGGGGGTGGCGGGGCCGGGGGGGATGGGGGGGATGGGGGGGATGGGGGGATGGGGGGGATGGGGGGATGGGGGAGCCGGGGGGG